CCCCCCCCCGCTGTAGACCGTGCCAAATGAGCCTGATTGGCGTATGATGTATGCCGTTCACTCTCACTTGCCATAACATAAATCATGATGGTAACACTGGTTTATTTCTCCAGAATAAACCCATTACCTAATTGTGAGTCCACTTCAGCAGTGCTTTTATCAACTGGTCCTGATGGTTTGTCTATCATACAGAGGAATAAAATGTTTTATTGAATAAAGAACAGAGCTGTGTGTTTCTTATATAAACGTGTATCACAAAATGTCATAAATGATCATTTACTACTGTGTTAAAAAAGTCATATTCTTATTTTTAAGATTTTTTTATATTTAAACTACTGTTATATGTTGTATATTCCTACATTCTTTTTTTTAACATCGTTTTTATTTCATTTTGTACATATTTGTCTGTTTATATATATTTTTTTATCGGAGTGTCACAAGTATTTATATCCGTGTGGAAACCACCCTGTTGTAATTGCGCCTGTCCGCCACCAGGTGTCGCTGTTGCTCGTGTTTTTAGAGGGGAACGCTTCACTGGTGATTCGTGGACAGTTACCACACAGTCAATCAGATAACTAAGATTATTTGGAATAATTCCAAAAATATATATATTTATATTAGTTAGAAATAATACAATTAAAAAATGTTATAAACAGGGATATATTGACATGAGAAATTGAGAAAATAAAATGGAAAATAAAACACTTAACACAATAGGATCAAACAAAACAAAAATAATTCATGGGAAATAACGAGGTTAGAGTAAAGTGTTAAATAATTAGAAAATAAGAAAAATAATTACAAATGATTACATAGAATGATAACTTAAAATAAAGAACGTGCTAAAAAATAATAAAAATATGTAAGTAAACATACTGTAAGAATTGAAAGAACAATGTCTAATAAAACATTACAAAACATATACAAATTAAAATAGAGCTCAAATATTTTTATTTACATAAGCAGTTAAAGTAGAATGTACTTGTACTTCAATATATAACATATATTACAATATATACGGTAATAATGTTGAGTTTGAAAAGGTCTATTTTTAGGTTTATAAATGTTTAAGAACGTGCATCCCTGTTTGATTTATTGCAACACTTCTCCTTGTATCACCTGAGTTTCAATTGAGTGTTTTTCACCACAACATGCACTTAAAATATTAAATTAAAAGTGTGCAGATGCATGTAAGATATCAGGTATGGCGTTAATGTTTATTCGCACAGTTTTAAATGGGTTGTTTTCAATGTATTATTATGTTTATATAAATCCTAATTCCTTAGATGTGCATCCAGCATTCCCACTGGTGTAAATTTGAAGTATTGCAACACTTTTCCTTTTATAACCTGAGTTGTTATGGCTTCTTTTTTTGCACTTAAAACCTCCACTTAAGTGAGTGTGAAAGGAACAGTGTTCAGATGCAGGGTCAGATATGAAGCATCAAAATAACCTGTGGAGTATTAGTATTAATAAGACAATAATGTTGAATAGCACAGGTTTATATAAATCCAAAGACCTTTATGTGCATCCATGTTAGTAAGCAGCATTTCCATTGGTGTACATTTGATGTATTGCAACACCTTTCCTTTATAACCTGAGTTTTTATGGGGTTTATTTAGTACTTTAGTATTAATAAGATATTAATGTTGAATGGCACAGTTTTTAAAGGGTTTTATATAAATCCAAAAGCCTTAAATGTGCATCCATGTTAGTAAGCAGTATTCCCACTGGTGTAAGTTTGGTGTATTGCAACACCTTTCCTTGTATAACCGTAAGAGTTTGGATGTTTTTTTGTGTTTTTTTGCTCCACAACAACATGCACTTAAAGGCTGGGGAAAGTGTGCAGATGCTTGCTGCTGAACAGCATCGTGTCACCCAGGTGGATGTACGTATGGAGCCCCGTGATGCGGTGTGGGGGAGGATGATAAACACTCGCTCCGCACAGCAGGAGGAACATGGCGGCACAGTCAGCCAGCACAAATGTTGTTTCACTACCACGAAGGTCAGAGAAGCTTCTGAAAACCAGGATTTAACACCGACGACAGGGAACCAACTCTCTCACCGTGAGTACCCTCATGTGTTGGGGTTCGTGTTGCAGGGGAACCGGGTGTTTCGACGGTGTGAATCCGATGCAAAGGGCTTCAATCTCGGCTGTGTGTCTGTCTGGCTTCGGCGTTAGCATGTTAGCTCCTCGGCTAAGTCAATAGTGTTTTCTGCAGGAATTACACAGAGAGCCTGTGAGCTACTTATTGCACTGTTTGTCAGCCGGTTAAACTCAACAATAAGAAATATATGGACATTTTAAAGTGAGCTATTCGTGCACATTTGTTTCATATGTGGTTGTTTTTTTTTGCTGAGTGACCGTGCACACAACACCGGACGAAGTTGGCATGCTAACAGTTAGCTTTAGTCTGTCGTTGTCAGAAATAAGAGAGGCAGGAGACTCCTCTCTGCTCTCATGTGTGTTTTCAGCGGTTTCTGTGGTTGTTGAGCTCTTATCCAACATGCTTCTTCTCCCTGTGTATGTGGAGGAAATGTCTGCAGGGTGCATGGAGCTTTTTTTCTGCTGAACTAATGTTTCTCTCATGTGTTTGCGTTGTGGAGCTGCTGCTGCACCACCAGGCTAGTTAGCAGCAGAGCTATACCGGGGGCAAAGTGTCCAGAAAGTTGGGCATAGACTGAAGAAGAAGCGGGGAAAAGGGGAACAGTGCTGCTTTATGTGTGTGTGTACCACAATCAGCTGGTCCCATGCTACTTGTACGTGATAAAGGAAAGGATAGCGGTTTTTAAGATGTGTGTGCATGACCCAAAAGCGTGGAAAATGAAAACAATGCAGCTGGTAAAACATCAAAACTTAAATGTATGTGTATCACAACATGGCGACACAAGTCCCATGCTTCTTGTATGTGATTTAGGAAATATTAGATATGCTCTCTGCAGTGTGTGCATGCTGCAGAAGCGTGGAAATGAAAACAATGCAGCTTTTAAAACATCAATACGTATATTTATCCGATCACAACATGGCGACACAAGTCTCATGCGTCCTTTTGAAGGTTTTAGTCCATTTTATCTGCTCTGTGCAGGGTGAGCATGCTCCAGTGTGGCTTTGTTGTGCTCAGAGTGCTCTCCTTTTAAGGCTCTCCTGCTCCACTGCTCCAGGACTATACAACTTTTGCCATTTCAGTGATTGTCAGCTTTTCCTCTGGGTGAAGTTGCAGGAAGGCATGCAGCTGAACCAGTCGGGCGGCTTCTGTTGCATCTCTGCCCTCCTGATGGCGCACAGCTCTCCTGTCACAACACTCCTCTGAGGTCTAACCTGGCATGTTCTCCACATGTGGCTTGGCTGCAACTTCAGGCGCTTCTGTGAGGATTTGATGGGTTTCAGTCCGATCTAACGGGTCGTTAAATGCAAAGTAAACTCTGGAGGAGTTCAACAGAAACAATGATGGTATGCTTTACTTTAGAGAGCTAGAGCTGCAGATACACCTACTAGTTTGATTGTTATTAAGCATTTAACCTTGAAAGAGTGCAGAAAATGCGGTTTCCAGCCTCTCAAATATACAGCAATGCTGCTTTTTGTCTCTCTATACATCAGAATAAAGTCAATATCTTTGGTTTATGGTCTGGGAAAACAAGACATTGGCAGGCTTCATCTTGTACCCCTATTTTCGGACCTTTTATCAATCAAACCACAAGCATTTTCTGGCATTTTTGTACGAAAAACAACTTAAACTATTAATTTAATATCGAAGTAGTTGGCGTTTATCTTTTCTGTGGCCTTCTCCTTGCTACTCTTCATGTCGTGTTTTTTTAATAAAACAGTTTGTCCTTGGATGACGGGAAGTCGGGAGTAAAATATTCCTCCACCATCGACCGTATTTAATTTTTGGGAGTGAGATGAGGACACTCTGCATGGACATGACGCCTGACTGCTTTCTCCTAGATACATTCATGCATTCCTGCAGTATGAAGTCCTCCTTTTGTTGTTGTTGGTTATAGCATGCTAGTTTGAATCATAGTCCAGTGTTTCCCGCTCTAGCTGTCACTCTGATAGTTGTGTTTTGTGTCATGTCGACTCCCCAGTGATGGCGGGATGTTTGTTTTGCATGAGGACACCTGAGGAATTCATGCGAGCACGTGGATGTTTATACAGGGGACTTGGCAGCTTTTCTCTGTGAAGTTGCTTCGCCCTGCACACACTGTAAACTACAGCCAGAGGTGTGTGTGATACCTGTCCGAA